CTGTGCAGCCCTTGGGGTCATTGCATGCTTTCATACATGATGGAATCCCTAGTGGAATAAAAGCAATTCTGTGATTGTTTGGTGTCTGATCTGAGAAGTCCCAGGCTGTAATATCTGCCGTCATCTGTGGCAGAGCAAATCTCAAAGATATTCAGACACTAGGGTGGGGATGTGGTCAACACCCCATAATGGGCTGGTGTGTTAACACAGTAGAGGGAGGTCTGGTTGGCTCAGATTCTATAGGCATTGCTGTAACAGCCTTGAAAGACACCTTAAGTAAATCAGCAAGCTCCAACTATGTGTTCTTTGGAAATCAAGCCATCGTTAGAATTACAATGAGAGAGCAGAAACGCTCTTAAGTAACTGTAGAGTCTTAATATAGACAAGGACAGGAATGGATAGAATCCTCGGTGGTAAAATGACAGTCCTTTTTGAATTAATTTGAGATAAGTGCAGTTTCAACTCAGATATCTAAAGATATGCTAAGAACTTAATTGCACCCATTTTAAAAAATGATGAACGGTATTCAACAAAAAACCCTATTATAAATCAATAATAATTAAAATAGCATAATAATGATTTAAAAATAGAATAGTCCTTTTGAAAAAATAAAGAACATAGGCATCAGAATGTATTTAACACCTAAATGAGAAAGCAAATTATATACTAGAAAAGTCAACTTTACAAAAAGTGAAAAATAATTTAATATTACCATTTGGAAGATTTAATTACACAGTAATAAGAGAACATGTGAAATGTAATATTATATATAATACATATTATATATTATGTATGTATGTATTAGACCTTTTATGAGCCTGAAAGAGTAGATTTTAAAAGGGACATGGTTAGCTATAGAGAGAGGTTTATAATGAATGTGGTAGATAAAGCCAAGACATGTGCAATGCATAAATGAAGAGTGAAAGAAGCTGCCTCCCTCCATGGTAAACAAATGAGGTGTGTGGATACTGCCAGCTGAAGAAGACACACAGTAACTAAGTGTGCAAACAGTGTTCATGTAAATTTAAATGATAATGAGCTAGCTACGGGCACTCACCTACTCAGTGTGGAAAAGATCCTGCTGCTCCTGAAAACCACAAAGAACACTCAAAGCCACTGTTGTTCTCCAGATTATAAAGCAATCCATCTTCTCTTTCAAACATAGTGACAGTTCATAGCCAGGCCAAAAAAATGTACCACATCCCTTCTCCAGTTTTGAAATCTCATTCCTAAAAACTAGCTGATAACAAATTATTCAATATATAAAATAATATAGCACAATTAAGATCACTTAGAAGTAGATAGATAACCAGAGTCTGGGATAGAGAGGGTGATCTAGGTGCCAGTGGTATCAGCCCAGGGCCAGCAGGTCCCCTGTGCTGTGACAGTCACATTTAAGACCTGACTGGGTCACATGCCAAGCTTTTCTTTAATATGTCTAGTTCTGTCTGGTGTGGGATGTGATAACACTCTTTGCCTGTCAGAGTTTCTGAATAGAATTGTACACTTGACTAATACGACAAAATCCTTTAGCTGTCCACCATGCAGTGCTCAGCTTACCTTTTACTACTTGAAATGATGTTTTCTAGACTGTCCCTGACTCATCTTCTTAGTGAGTCTTAGTGAGTCACTTTGTAGCGGTTCAAGAGCAATGTACCTTCCACAGAAACTGAGCTTGGAGTTGGCAGTGCATTGTGACCCTCTGCCAAGGTGCTGCTTGCAGTTCCTTCACCCCTGTGAGCACAGTGGCCCTCTTAAGGATACTTCGTGGCTGGGCCGTGATATCCTGTAGGTGGTGTGTTATGCATTTCTGATAATGTGTTTATAGTGTGTTCACTTAAACCCAGGCTTAACAGGGTGTGACCCTGTGAACGGGATCAAAGCTACATAGAAAATCTGGCTGTGGGTCAGACTGAGTTCAGGAAAGGGAAGTAGGGTCTCTTTTGAAAGTTCGACCATTACAGGTCTGGGAGACAGCACAGTCAGTAGAATGCTCACCATCAGGCATGAGGACATGAATTTGTCCCAAAGAACACATGTGAAAAGCCAGGCATGGTCACTCACACTTGTAATCTCAGTGCTGGGAAAGTAGAGGTTCTCAAACCCCTGGGTTTCACTAGCCAGCTAGCTTAACCGAATCAGTGAGTGTTCAAGGCCATTGAAAGGCCCTGCTTCAAGAAACAAGGTTGATGTCATCCTGAGGAATATTAGCCTACACACACACACTTGCACCTGCTCTTACATGTGCATACACATACACAGGTCCTGGAGTTTGCTGTTTCGTTCATGTCAGGAGCCAGCCAGTGTGGTTCTGAGAGTGTCCTGCTTACCTGCTGAAGTGAAGAGCAAGTGTGCTTCAGAATTAAAGTGATACTGGCGACCAGAGTGACCAGTATTTACTGTGGGTGATGACTATCACCATGTCTCCAAGACTGAGTATGGGGCATGTTTGCTCACATGCGCTAATGCCTATGCTGGGTTACCTTGGGAATTGGATGACCACATGAGCATATTATAGATAGTAAGTCTATTAAGCCTGTGCCTTTAATTGTGTTTAATTCCAGTGCTGGGCTGCTGTGGGAATTAGATGACCAAATGAACATTATGGATGGATGGATGGGTGGATGGATAGATAGGTAGGTAGGTAGGTAGGTAGGTAGGTAGGTAGGTAGGTAGGTAGGTAGAGTCTGTGCCTTTAATATATGTTCCATGTGTCTTTGGCGCATTGCCTTTAGTCCCAGCACTTAGGAGGCAAAGGCAGGTGGATCTCTGTGAGTTCGAGGCCAACCTGGTCTACAGAACTAGTTCTAGGACAGGCTCCAAAACAATACAGTGAAATCCTGTCTCAAAAAAAAAAAAAAAAAAAAAAAAAAAAAGCTTAATCAAAAACTTTGAAGATGAAAAGTTTTTCATTTTTAAATATTTAGCACCAAGTTGATAGAAGTCTTAAAGTTATTGCTGTCTGATGTCTGATGTGAGCATAAACAGAACACAGGGTGCTGTTGGGTCCTGATGGTCATGTTAATGGTGGAGAAATAGAGAGCACTGACCACTCTGTAGATGGAAACTACGAGGTCCAGTTTTGTATGGTAAACCAGCTCAGAAGCAGATTGAAAGTGTTTCAGGTCAAGGCATGTCTGTGTCTTGAGCAGAGGCTGATTCCAGGGCTCCTCCCTTCTTGTCACTCAGGCCAGCCCTATAGCACTGCCTCTTTGCATTCCTCAGAGACTAACAAAGGCCCAACCCAGGCTGTGTGCTGTGCTTCCTTTCCTGTCAGTTGTCCTGTCAGAGCCTCTGGTTCCTTCTCCTGTCTGAGTGGAAATCTGAGGAAGCCAGAGGCTGACATCAAGATTTCTTTCATAGTTTTTCCTCCCACCATCCCCTTTGCCACAGGATCTCTTTCTGAACCTGGAGCTCACCGTTCAGCCAGTGAGCCTCCAGGCTGCTTACCTCCACCCTCCAGCAGTGGGGGTCACAGACACACTCTCCATGTTCAGCTTTTACATGGATGCCAGGGGTCCAAATCAGGGTCTCATGCTTGTGCAAGAAGAAAAACCCAGCCTAGGTTTTTCTAGTGTTTGGTTGCTGTTGTTTTTAAATGATACATTTTATTTGGGGCCTTCACAGAAGGAGGCTGTATAGAATTCTACATGTGATCTTAGCCAAAATGTTGGTAATTGGTATGTGCAAAATTCTGTAGCCACCCAGACCTCTTACTGACTCCCAGTGGGGTTATCCTTAATCCATCTTCACTATCACTACCTCTATTCAGGGAGACCACATGTGGATGTGGGCAGTGGCCAAACTACATTATTCATTAAGGTACAGGTTATTTCCTCATGTACCAACACCCAAGTATCAAGCATTAAAAGGGTAAAGCAGCTTTCTGTTAGAACTGAGTAGTTGCAGGATCTTTGTTGTGCTGTAGGTTAGATTTAGGCTTTACAGAAAAGTCAATTAAAGGACCTGTATGCCCATGGCAGGTCTTGGGCAGGCACCATGCAGTTCGAGAACCCTGATATGATGGGTCACTAGGTAAGCTCAGCAGGACATCTGAGAGGGCCCAGGGCACCATGAATAAGTAGGCTTGTGCCTTCAGCACTGTATGGCTGCAGTGACTTTCCATCATGTGCCCCTGGCAGCCCCAGCATTGCTATCCTTTTTAATTAACTGGTAGTGTGTGACCCTACATCAACCAAACAGGCAGGTCACCTCATTAGGAGGCCTGCACAGCAGCCAGCAGGAGACAGAGCTCCCAGCGCCTGGGTAGTGCTCCTCCCCATTAATCAATCCCTGTGAGAAGAGCCTCCCCTGTACTCACTAGCAGACTCGATTCCTCCTGTCCAGGTGCACATGCATGTGCACTCAGAGTCCAGGTGCAAGGCAGGCTCCCAGGGCCACTTCCTGAATCCATCCCCATGTTGTATAAAGACAGAACGTTTCCTGCCTATCTTGAGTATTGCTGGCCTGAACTCTGGGTCAGAGGTTAGGACCAGGAGGCTGGGCTGTTCCTGTTTTCCTTTCTTTCCTGCCCAGCCTTCTAAAAACATCAAATGCCAGGTTCATGATCTCTTGTAAAAGGAGGCTGTTTCAGCTGGTTGTGGGTGTTACACTGCTGGCATTGCTGCTCCCTCTGAGCTTCCTGCATGGTTTCAAGTGAGAGAGCCCAGCTGGTTGCTCTCACCACCACTGTTGTTAAATTTGCAGAGTGGATTGTTCAGGACAATCTGAAACGATGGCTATCTATGATTAGATATGTATATGTCAGACACTTTCACCCTGCTTCTAACTAGAATGCTTAAAGCATGAAGCATGTTGTCTCACCATGGTGTGTGACACTATATAACATTGGCACTGAGCCTTCTGGTTGCTGTTTTCTTACACATACACAGATAGGTGCACATAGACTCTTCACACACAAATGCTAACACGGCATGCATGCTGTACTCACACAACCTCATCTTTCAAGCATCATGGGAGAATTCTAAATCTTATTTCAGGTCTTGACTCAGATGAAGAACTCGGGCTTCTCTGTCACCACGCCTCCTACCTAGGTGATTGACACAGGCTCTTTGCTCTTTTGTAGCCTGTTCTGTTTATTTTATGTGTCTGCACGCCTGCATGGTGGTCCGCATACTGATGGGGGAGGGGGGTGCACCAGGGGCAAGTGCCCTGGCTGTTGTATCTCAGGAATGACCTCGAGTTCACGGTAGCTTGCACAAGGGTCCATCTCCATGGTTCTGTCCTCCAGCCACGCCATCCAGCTTGCTAGTTCATGCACAGCCATAGCTTTAGAGTCCTTGGGGTATGGAAAGAAGGCAGTAGATGTGTCTGTGGCTGTGGTATATGTACCATACACCCCATGAACGGCAGCCAGTCTCATGCTTTTTCATTGCCAACAGCTTGCCTGAGTTTCTGTTTCTCTGTTTTGTTTCAAACAGGGCATTGTGGTAAGGAGGGCCAGCAGATTTCATTCAGTAAATTGGTCTGTACAAAGACATGATGCCTGGTAGCTCTCACCAAACTGCTTTCTGTGTGTTCCTCATCTCCAGACCAGAGGGTGGCATCTTTCTGTACCCTGACTGACCTCCAGCATGGACAAGACCTGGAAGGGGCCCCAGAGCTGTCCCTGTGTGTGGATCCTGCCAGCGGCAAGGAGTTCATGGACACACCTGGGTATGTGGATGCTCCCTGTCATTGTCCCAGAACTCAGGTATCCCAGGCCAAGCTGGAGAGTCCTGCCATGCTAGAAACGATACCACTAGACTATATAACCATTGCACTGCATAGACAGGTCCTGTCTGATGGCTGGCCTATGCCCATAGTAGCCAACCTCACTGGCAGAGAAGACCAGGTGGGATCTCAAGTCAGCTACCTAATTACTAAAGCACTAGGCCGTGACCCTTTGTCAGTCAGTCTTGGCCCTCCAGGCCACTCATGCTGTGGGACCTACCTAGGGTACAGTTCATCCCAGACCCTGGCCCTTGATCAAACCATCTACCTGCTGTTGACATATATGAGGAATGCCCCCGTCACTTGTGATGCATGAACCCACTTCTGGCGTCTCTATGAACTGATTCACTGTTAACTTGCTATTGAACCTGGATCTGTTTTCATGACAAAAGCAAGTTAGGGAAATCAGATCTACATTTAGCCCCTAGGATTTAGCTCTGGCCCATCTCTTCTCCAGTTAAATAATCCTGGCCTTTGTTTTCTTAGCAGCCTTTGTGTCCTACAGAGTCTGAGTCCATAGAAGTAGCTATGGGAACATGGTCCCAAATTGTGAATTTACACATAATACTTTCAATGAAAAGTTTACTGACTCAAACACAAGCAATATCTTAGCCATGGGTCTCTTAAGCCCTCTTAATTGTACCGTTTACCAGGGAGCGATCACCCTCCACACTGACTGGGAAAGTCAACCAGCTAGAACTGATTCTTCGACAATTGCAGACCGACCTTCGCAAGGTATGATCCCTGGAGTCTAACAACAGGGCTTTTGCCCACATGCAGGAAATCAAGACAGAAATAGACAGAGGTACAAGGGGTATGTGGGGTGTACGTAGATCAGGAGACCCAGAGTATAAGCTGCTTGTGGGGTATACACCGGCTTGCCAGAGGAACAAGATGCTGCTTTGCAGGATTGCTTGGGAAGATATGGTGATGTGGGGCAGGAGTAACTAATAGTGGGAAGTGATCATTGGGAGAGACAAGGTTCGAAGACATTGAGGAGTGAATACCAGCAAGTTTCCTTTGAAAGACAGGAGATGGCAGTGGCTCAGAAAGTAAAAACTTGAAACTTCTCTAGAAGGGGTTGTGACATCAGTGATGAGGTGTGATGCACTATGGGTAGGAGAGAGAAAAGAGGGAACAGGACTCTAGAGTGGTCCATTAGATTTGGGAAGGCCTTGGAGACAGGACATGTGGACAAGGCTGGGGCCAGGCGGTCTCATCCCTAATGTCAGGCTGGTCAGAGTTCCAAAGGGAACAGCAGTTGGGTGGAGCATTGGCAGCCATTGCCCCCATGGTTCAAGAGCAGGAAGAGGAAGGGGAATCAGAGGAGATATGGAAAACACGGGTCTAATTACATGCTGTGGTGTTTCAGGGAGACAGCAGCTGAGTGCCAGCAGGGTGATCTGAGCCAACGTAGAAAGGGATGGAGAGGAGGGGGATTTCAGGACTGGGCTGGCTGTATGGCAAGGCTAGTCCTGACTCCCGGTCCAGAAGCTTCCTTCCTCTTGGAACCGGGGCTTTACAGGGTAGGGTGGTGAGTTTGGGGCAAGCCCAGAAGATGTGAGGAACCAGGAGGCCATTGTAGGAAAAAAGTAGACACCCTGAGGTGGTAAAGAGCTCTCGGTGACTCAGCCCTGTTCACCCACTGTGTGAGCCACTAGGAGCAGCAGTTGCTGTGACTGCTGTGCCTCTTAGCACTAGAAATCTGAAGCTTGGCATGTATTTCTCATAGCTATGTGTTAGAAGCACCAAATACTGTTATTTTGAAATCCTGTTATTGTGTACTTTTGAATAGCAGACTCTGAAAGTCAGCATGGAAATATGGCCAACACCAGAACAATAAGCATGGAATGAGAGGCCCAAGTGATTGTTCTAGACTTAGCATCCATAGGTGCCACATAGGCACCAGTTTTAGGCAGAGAGGAAGGCAACTGGAGAAGCCCTGCAGATCAGGAGGGTTCACACCAACCTAGCTGCAGTCTATCTCTTCCAGGTGGGTGAGGAGTAGTCTAACTTCTGATTGACAGCTCTTCGTCTTCTCTTGAGAATATACAGAGGAAGCCAAGAGGCCAGGGTGGCTCATATCCCTGAATGAGTGGGAAAACCCAGGCAGACCACTCCCTGGGGTTAAGTCAGAATGAGGGACCCTTATGCCCTTAGGTCCAGCTCAAAGGGAACAGCCGACCAGTGAGCCTATGACATGCTCTCTGGTTCCCACAGGAGAAGCAGGACAAGGCAGTGCTGCAGGCTGAGGTCCAGCACCTGAGACAAGACAACATGCGGCTGCAGGAAGAGTCGCAGACTGCCACCGCCCAGCTGCGCAAGTTCACCGAGTGGTTTTTCAGCACCATTGACAAGAAGGCCTGACCAGCTAGCTAGCTGCTCCTCATCCAGGGACCATGGGCTGGCCTGCCTGCCTCCCTGCCTGCCTGCCTGCCTGCCTGCGGTCCCTTCCAAGTTGGCAATGTAGTTTTACTTGCGCTTTCCACCACCTGTAGGTAGATGTCTCGCTGTCCATTCTGTGTCTCGCTACTCATCCTAGCAGGACAGACAGGTCGGGGGACCTGGACTCCTCCTGGGTAGCTGCAGCAGCAGATGAATGTAACTCCTGGTGAACACAGAAGTAGCCTGCAACTGAAAGGCTCCCCTGACAGTGCTCCTGCCTCAGCTTCCCTGGGGGAGAGAACTGGGTGTCACTAACTGAATTTGGTGACCTCCAGAGATGCTAAGCCAGTGTACAATAGCAGGGCTGTAGGATTGTAAAAATAAATACGGAGGCAGATAATCAGACATGTACTTTAATGTTAAAGGTGCTCTATATTTTTGGATGTACAGTAGTTTTATTTCCACAGCCACACTATCATAGCAATAAGAAGGGTGCAGTAAGTAGTTGGCAGAGCTCTGTCAGAGAGAAACCCTGAAATTTAACACTAGCTCAAACACTGTTACCGTAGAGACGTATTTATTTGCAGGAACAAACGGTGCCTGAATATTAACAGTGTTCTGATTTTTTTTTTTTAAGAGATGCATATGCCTTGTAAATGGCTGGACCTGTTGGTAGTCCCTTCATTGCATAGTTTGCTTTCTTGTAGTTGCTCTGCTGAAGACAGTCAATGTCTCCCCTAGCCCCTCCCCACTAGAGTTCCCTGATGCTGAGTGTCCGAGGGATCCTGTGTACAACTTCAGATTTGTTTATCTTTGTACAGAAACTCTGATAAAGTGTCTTGTATTTAACACTCTTATTTAAGCTTATTTAACCCTACCTTGTTAATTTTATATGATTTGGTTTCACCTGCACTGTATGGAGGGAGGCAGGCAGGCAGGCAGGCAGTGACTGAACTCACCCGGAACAGACTGAAGTAGGAGAGCGAGCGAGCGGAGGACTGGATGCTGCTGGCTAATGCATTGTTTGTATTGCTTTTCCATTTTTAACTGTTATATTTGAGATGAACATACATTTTGCTTTTTTAATAAATGTTCAAAAGAAGTCAACATAAAAAACATTGTTATCTGGTGCATGTAGATTATGACATGCCAGTTGTCTCTGTGAGTTTATTTCAGGTCATTTAGGATCCTGATCTATATTCAGAACTTTTTTAGCTGTGTCTTAACCTCTCAATGGTTAAGAGTGCTAAGGATTCATTACTACTCCACATACACTATTCTCTAAGTTTCTAGTCTCCTTGATCCGAAGTCTCCTTGATCCGAAGAGTATCCTTGGGAGAGTCTGAGGGTTCCCATTTTATAACCAAATAAACTATGACTTGGGGTGAGTAACTTACTCAACCTTCATTTAGGGGTAGAAAGCCATTTAGTTGGCTGATTTTATAAAAGCCAAGGCTTGCTATATAGGTTCACATAAACTCATCCTCCTGCTTCATCGTCCTGAGACCTGGATTTGCACATTTGTGCCACCATGGCTTCCTGCCTCCAAGGTACACATAGTCCTGGGCAGCTTGGCACTGTGCTAAACATACTTGGTTACTGACACCTCTTAACTAAGCATGCTATGAGGATGCACTGGTACAAACTAATATTGGAGTCAAGCCTCTAAAAGGAATTGCTTTTATTTTAGAATAATTAAGCAGGTGTTTTTTTCTCACCTTGTGGGGTGAATTGTTGTGTGTCAAAGCCTTCCCAGTATGTGGCAGTTGAAAGTAATTAGCATATTGGATGGGTCCCCCCCCCCCATACTAGGGAGAAGGTTTATTAAAAAATACCAGTTGCCATCAAAGGGCAACAATAGAAGCCTACCTTGCTCAGCTGCTCAGTTAATCAATGAGACAGAAGAAACCCATGGTCCTACCAGTCAATCAAAATGCAGTTTGATTACATGTCACTCACCAGGGATGGCATCAGACTTAGGGAGCCACAGCTTCTCACCTACAAAGTCTAAGGTCAGAGATGTGGTCACATAGAAGGATGAAGACATGTTGCAAGGGACATGGCTCAGCGGGTGAAAGCACTAGATGCAGTGGTGACCTGAGTTCTCTGTGGAACCACACAAAAAGCTGGGTGCATGGTGTGCACCTGTAAGCCCGGCACTCCTGTGGTAAGGTGGTAGGAGACTAGAGAATCACCTGGCAGAGGGTCTGGATAAGTCACAAGCCCTTGTGACACACCAAAGCTAACTGCTGAGCCTCAGACTGAGGCACCGTGGAGCCTCTGGTGTGGAGACTTCTTGTGGCACTGACTGTGTACTTCCAGCCAAATGGAGTACTCCATGTCCTTCTGGCCAATGCTCCGTGTCCCTCTTTACCTCAGCCACAGCTGTGTCACCTCACCATGAGAAATTTTGTTAAGACCTTCTGCCACCAGTTCCTGTCTCTGGGGGCCATTGAGGAGCCCCAGACCCTTGAAAACAAAGCCAGTGTGTGCTCCTCAGCATCCCTGGATGGAGTGAGGGCCGGCAGAGGCAGTGAAGACTGACAACCCGCCGTGCCTGAGGTTACACATTAGAGAGAATCTAGGCCATTTCTTTTAAATATGTGTGGAAGCTTGGAACCAGGATCTCATTCTAGGGATGTTTAAAAGCTTTTAAGGAAGAAAGCAGAAATGCCTGCTTATTTATTGTGACGCACAGGAGGGAAAACAATCAGATATGTACCCAAACCAGAGAAAGGCATCTGCTTCCTCACCTGCAGCCTCCACATTAACCCACCTGCCCAGCTACCTGGTTTTCCATCACAGACACTGGACAGGAAGTTAGGCACATTGAAAGCTTCCACAGACATCACCTCAAATGTCACATTTTGGGGAGGGGTAGCACCTACACACGTGTGTGCCTGCGGAAGCCAGAGGACAAGCTATCTGTCGTACTTCAGATGCCATCCACCTTGTGTTTCTTGAGGCAGGGCCTGTCAGGTCTGGAGCTGGCCAATTCAGGCAGGCTGGCCATCCAACCCCAGGGCTCCAGCACTCGAGTGTCATCACCACTGGCTTATTTTATTACAGGTTCTGGGGGTTGAAGGGAGGGCCTCATTCCTGTATGGTATGCGCTTTACTGACTGAACTCTTGTCTCCAGCCCCAGACATCACATACTTACACATGTGAACACGTGCACCCCTCCCGCAGTCAGTTCATCCTAACACACCAGATGTCCTGGCCTCTGAAACAGTCCAAGTCTTGGTTCGCTTGTCAATATGCCAACTGAAAACACCTGGATGTCAGGGCTCTGCCCGAGACTAGCAGAGCAGCCTCGTGTGGCACAAGAGCCAGTGAGAAACAGTGAGCCCTCCCCACCAAACACATGCAAATGTCCTTTTGATTCCTGGATTGTCCTCAAGTTACTAAAAAACAAAATTAATTAAAGTCAAGACCAGAGGTCCTGCCCATCAGCACCCATCCATCAACCTTGGGGACTGGAGTGGGAAATGTTCATGGAGCCTGAGAGCCATGAAGAGGGCTGGGGGTGATTCAGAGTCGATTATGTCAACAAATGTTCTGAAGTAATTCTGGCTACAAACGCATCTGTGAAAGGAGACATTACACTCTAACAGAATCTCCTAAAAAACTAAGCCTCATGAGGGCAGTTCTGTGTGAATGCACTCACTGGACATGGACATCAAATCTGTGTCTTTGTATATACATTTTATGTATCCAAGTATGACAATTTTCAATAGTTTCTAGTTTTGTTTTTAAATTTACATATCTGGGTGTTTTGCCTGTATGAATGTCTGTGTGGATGCCTGGTGTCCTCAGGCCAGAAAAGGGTGTTGTATCCCTGGAGTTACAGATAAATTGTGAGCTGCCATGTGGGTGTTTGGAATCAAACTCCTGTCCTCTGAAAGAGGAGCCAGTGCTCCTAACCACCGAGTCATCTCTCCAGCCCCGGGCTTTGGTTTATTTTCATTATTATATTAGTATTGTGTGTGTGTGTGTGTGTGTGTGTGTGTGTGTGTGTGTGTGTTACAGCATATAGGTGGGGATCAGAGGACAACTTTCAAGGGTCTACTCTCCTTCCACCATGTGGTTCCTGGCCTTTTTAGTGTTTGTGCTTGAAAATTTGACCTACCATGCCCTGCTGTAATTATCTTGATCCATATAGACACCTGTAGTCTTTGGTCTTCGCTGAGCCCCCCTCATATATGGCTTTCTTCACTCCTGAGCCGTGGCTCAGGTGAATTGTACTTAGATGAAGGGACAGGAGTGGAACAGTGTTTGAGGAGCTTGTGACTACAATCCCACATCTCTATGTGGACAGAAAGGACTGAAGAGAGGTTCAGAGCTGTGTCTCCATCAGTGTTCACAGCAGCTGGGAGATGAAGACACCGAGGTGTCTGTTATGAATGACGGGAAAACAGAATGTACACATACACTTATGATGGCTAATACTGTCAACTTGACAGAATCTAGAATCACCTAGGAAACAAATGTCTGGGCATGCCTGTGAGGGTTTCTCTAGATTGGGTTAACTGAGGTTAACCTGAGATCACCACCCTAAATGTGAGTGACACCATCCTATGGGCTGGGGTCCAAGACTGAACAGAAAGGAGACAGCGAGCTGAGCACCAGTGTCCATATTTCTGCTTCCCAACTGTCAATGCAGTGTGACCGGCCACCTCATGCCCTTGTCACTACGCCTCTCTCACCATGAAATAACCCTTCTTCCTTAAATTGCTTTTGTTGAGTGTTTTGTCACAGCAGTGAGGGAAGTAAGACAACAGTCAAGATTATTGTTTAGCCTTGAAAAGAAAAAGATGCTGACATATGTTATACTATGAACGAGAACACTATGCAAAGTGAGATAAGTCAGTCACCCCAGATGGGTAATCGTGTGACCCCACTTATATGAGGTGCAGCTATTAGAGTGGTCAGACTCACACAGAAAACAGGTCTGCAGAGCTGAGGGAAGAGAAGGAGTCAGTGCTTGCAGGAAACCAAAAACACCACTGAGAAGCCCCCTGGGAGCCTGGCTTTGATCTGCTGCCAATCATTCAGAGAGCCTGTGCTGGGGAGCTTAGTTCTGGGCCCCCAGGAAGAGCAACAGGGAAGAGAAGCTCTCTCTGAAGAGTGATTAATTTGGTAATTAATGCAGGGAAGAGGAAGAATGACTCTGAAATGTTTGCTTCAGGCCCTAAATTTTAACATTTAACTCTGCAGTTGCGGTGTCTGGTAGGATTTGGAGCTATGGCATGAAATCAGACATGGAAGCATCAGGGAGGAAATTGAAGATGCAGGGCTTCTGGGAGCTGGAGGTGCCGAAAACCTGTAAGGAGGGGGACAACACTTCAAATGGGAAGACAGGCAATTGTGAGAAGGCTCTGGTGCTTAATGGAAGAGCAAGTTGTTCACTAGTGTAAAAACCAAACTTGGCCGGGCTGGAGAAATGAGGCATTTGGGGACCACATTCACAGCAGGGCCTCTGGGGAGGTGGTCTTCAAAGGTAGGGCTGGTAAACAGAGGGAGCCCTGGAGGATTGCATTCTGAGTAAGATATTTGCTTAGAATTTGATTAACCTGTGTATGTTAGGACAAGTGAGACCCTGTAAATCAGTGGTTCTCAACCTTCCTAATGCTGAGACCCTTTAATACAGTTCCTCATATTGTGGGGACCCCCAACCATAACATTATTTTCGCTGCTACTTCATAACTGTACTTTTGCTCCTGTTATGAATCATAATGTAAATATCTGTGTTTCCTGGTGAAAGGGCAGTTTGACCTTCAAAAGAGTCATGACCCACAGGTTGAGAACCACTGCTGTAAGTCAAAATTCAATGAGGTATATGTTTGTCTATGTATGTACGGACATTGTGGACTGTGTGTGAATATGTGTTTGTGTGCTGCGCGCGCGTGTGTGTGTGTGTGTGTGTGTGTGTGTGTGTGTGTGTGTGTGTGTACACTTGAACATTATTACTAGAAGTCCATCGTGACTATCTTCCTCATGTGTCCTCCACATCATCGTTGTCATCATCATCATTGTTATCATCATCATTGTTTTGAGATCTCACTGACTCTGATGCTCACCAATTTTGCTAGACTGGCTACCAGCAAGCTCCAGG